TCACTCATCCCACTGAGACTCTGTGCAGAAGATCTACTGTACTTTGAATTCATACTCTAATTTCTTTTACAATAGCTGATTCACACAGACAAGTTCTACCTTTCTAGTTGCATTATTTTTACCCAGAGTTGCTTAAAGTTATTCAAAATCAGCAGAATTACCTGTGACTGTTTGATATGGGGAGAGGAGGAAAAGTTGTGGATAATTTTTTCAATCATTCCATCTCTTCCCACCTGAAGGACTATAAATATTTTGACGTCTTGTATTATTCCACTTGTGAGATCCCACCTGGAGTACTGCGTTCATATCTGAGGCCCCCAACAAAAGAAGGACATAGGCCTGTTGGAGCGAGTCCAGAGGAGGGCCATGAAGATAATCAGAGGGCTGGAGCACCTCTCCTATGAAGACAGGCTGAGAGAGTTGGAGTTGTTCAGCCTGGAGAAGAGAAGGCTCTAGAGAGACCTTATAGCAGCCTTCCAGTACTTAAAGGGGTCCTACAGGAAAGATGGGGATGGACACTTCATCAGGGAGTGTAGTGATAGGACAAGGGGTAATGGCTTCAAACTGGAAGAGGGTAGATTTAGAATAGATATTAGGAAAACATTTTTCACTCTGAGGGCGGTGAGGCACTGGAACAGGTTGCCCAGGGAAGTTGTGGAAGCTCCATTCCTGGAGGTGTTCAAGGCCAGGCTGGATGGGGCTTTGAGCAACCTGGTCTAGTGGGAGGTGTCCCTGCCCATGGCAGGGGGGTTGGAACTAGATGATCTTTAAGGTCCCTTCCAACTCAAATCATTCTATGATTCTACGATTTTCCTTTGATCTCTGTCTTTCTCTGACGTAGAGCTTTGGGTCTTGAAGGACACATTCCTCTCCCCTGTCTTTACATGCCCACAGGTGAGCCAGTCACCCACCATGTCCTCCAATGTCAATGGAGCGAAATAACAACTTCTAGGGCAATTCACATCATGTCTCTTAGACATTAACATTAAGATGGGATGACTTGAAGAGAAATGACCCCATCAACTTAAAATGGAGCATCATAGTTTAGATACCTAGAGTGTATGTGAATTTATGCATGTGAATCCCACCCAAAAAATTGAGATATGTAGTCACACTCACCTGCTGTCCAGCTGAGGCTCTTTTAAGGCTCCTTTTTGGTCTTGAAAGTCTGGCTGGATAACATAGTGCTGTAAGTCATAGGAGCAAAGGTATGAGTAAGATGAGTCTCACAAGCAACAAATTTGTGTGGGATTTTAAAAGTTGCCATCAAAATGCTTACTGTTAGAAAAAGAAACAACCAGGCAACTTGGCGGATCAAAATTTGTCTATAGGTACGTTATTTACAGATGGAAAATTGGCAACATAGAAAGGAACTGGGCAGGTACTGATATTTGTGCTGGAAATACCAGCTGAGCCTAATGGCGCTCCACCTTACCAGACTGAAAGCAATCAGGGACTGCAGGACTGAACCCTGTTTGGTGGTACAGGACGCTTTTCTTTATTGTAACTTCCCTGAGCATCTTTTCCAGGTTTTTGTTGCTCATCTGTAATGTGAGCAGACGCTCAGGGAAATCCCATTCCCACCCTCATTCGTTTTCAACCATTCTCTTCCCCTTCCTACTCCTGTCTAATAATTCAGCTGAAGACCCTGACTTACAGAGTCGTTTCAGGCCTCTCCGCTCCCACTCAGAAATATAGCCCCACCCACAATATCATTGCCCTACCAAGAAATAACTTTTCCCTGTTGTGCTGGGAAGAAAAAAAGCCACATAGAAATTGAAATGCAGCTAATAATACAGAAACTTGCACAGATGCCCTTATACCATAAGGCACTGTGACAAACTAGACTTTCAAAGTGTTTCTGGGTTATGGAAAAAGAGTTCGAGCCATCAGACATGCTCAGGATTATCTTCCCTGGTCCAGGCCAGTGGAATTATTTGAGGAAATACGCACATATTCTCAAACAAAGCCATGAGTGCCAAAAGAACGCAGTTCTATAAATACTAACAAATGCCAAAGGCTAACATAACTGCTAAAATAAAGTATGCCAACAGCATGTAAATTGGTTCTAGCTCGGGGAAGGCTATCAAGCTAGATGAGGGCTGGTAAGTTTGAGCAGTGTGACAGAGTCTGCAGCAGGTGGGTCACTGGTTGGTGAAGGGATTGATCCACTAGCAGACTTGGCAAAGCTGCTACTTGCCGCTTAGTTGTGTGGGTTGCATACCTCCTGGCTACCACGCACCAACATTGCCTTAATAATACGTACAGTGTATACACACACATATGCACACTTATGTAGGCATGCTCCTTTCTTGTTTCCGACACAGAAGATGTGCAACAGGGCAGAGTCAGGCGAGGAGACAGCTATTCCCACTGCCCTGAGACCATTGCTGAATGAGCTCTTTCCTGGTTGAATTCCTAAAACAAATACATTCCACCTTCACACTCAGCCTTTCCTGCGCAGCCAGTCTCGACACACAGGTGGGACAACACATAAACAGGACAAAGCACATGCAAGGCACCCTCCCACAAGGAAACTGAGCAGAAATCAGAGTCTGAACCAACCTGTCTCTTTTTCATTTGCTGCTTTCCTCTCTCCCCTTTCCTGAAGGACACTGCTCTCATCAGCATGTCCCGGCTCTCGCAGGGAGCCTTCCTTTTGCTTCCTGCCTGCCATCCAGCCCTGCCAGCTGCCTGCGATTGCACCTGCCTGCTCCACTTCTGCAGGCAGCCAGAAATCCCTCCCTGCCCTGCACTCCTGCAGGGGCTGGCCCCTGCCCAGCAGCCCCAAGCTCCCTGAATCCCCCATGCAGAGGAGGAGGACTCGGTGGCAGAGATGGGACAGCCTCTTCCCAGTGCTCCCCTCCTTGCCTCTTGCTCTGGCGTTGCAGCTCCCTCGCCTGCAAACTCACTGCCGTGCAGGAAAGATTCCCGGGGTCTCCAGCTCCAGTGCCTGCATGCCGGTTAACCTACGTCGTGTTTCATCTCTCTCTTGCTGATCGCTCTTTACCCAGCTTCCTCTCACGGTGCTGTTTCCTTCCCAGTTCACCTCCCCACCTTGGCTATGTAAGCAGGGGAATTCCCACCTGGGGGATCTGCTGCACGTAAGAGCAGTGCCATTATCAGTACTTTTAAATGTGCCAACTCAGAAAAGTCTGGGTCGATGGTTAGAGCGTACTGCATAGGCTTCTCCTACCTCTCCCTGACTTTCTCTTTGAAATGACCGGCAAGGCATGTTTTCCTCCTTACCTCTAGGCACACAGTCTCCTAATCTGCTTTATGAGCGCTCAGTGTTTGCTGTCGGATGATTCACTAATCACTTACCTGGAGTCCAGCCATGATTAGCCCGTGAGTTTTACTTCTCCAGGAGAGTGAACAGAAAAATCCTTTTGTAGTAGACTTTGGACTAACCCTAGAGATACCATTATAACCAGAATGCAGAACTGAAAATGGCGTTTGCAGGCTACACGCATGGGTGCTATCATCTCATGTGTGTATATACACCTACACATACACAAGGGAGTGTGAATATATACGTATGCATAAGCATGTACAGATATACATAGATATAACTATGTACATATAGACCAACACAGACATGTGTGTATACGCAAATTTCCCCATTTTTCAAACACTCAGTCCATATGCCAATGCTTTGCTATTTCATCACAAAACAACTGCATGTATAAAGTTTAACCAAGATTCATTTAGACTCTCCTGCACTTAAACTGCACCAACACAAGCAAAGGACAGCATGGAAGTGCCGAGTTAGAGAAACCCACACCTCACTGTATCCCCCTCAGAGACAATTTCAGGTTTCCACAAGAATACCCAAAGCACAAGAAACCCACAACAACTGTGACTCCAGGCAGTTAGGGTGAGACCAACCATCTTAATAGGAACATCTGTACTACTTGCTTGTCTAGATTGCCTTTATAACTGGTTAAGAGCAATACAGTAGTTCTAGGAAGTACCTCATACTGAGGTAGAAAGATGAATTGCCTCTTATCTGTGTGATTTGCTACACTGGTTATAAAGAAGCTATATACACATATATAAAACTAGAGCTGTAAGGGAGGCATGGCCTAATGATTACTTAAATGTGTTGTGCAAAGTAGAAGAGTAGAAACAAGAAGTGAGCCAGTCTACAACACCATCTAGACCGCTCATTAGAAACACATCCTCGCACCCCACAAGTAGAAGGCTTCACCTGTGCATAGGTAGAAGGGAATGTGGTTGTGACAGCAGAGGGAAAACCAACCATTCGCAGGGAGAAAGAAGCCTAAGGAAAAAAACCAACAGCGATTTAATGCCTCTTGGTTTCAGCATAGTCATTGTACAAGATGCTGGGATGCTTCCTCTACAGGCATTGAGTAAAGTCCAACCTGTGCATGGGGGTATGGACTCTGGTGTAACTAGCCAGAATAACAGACTTGTGCATAGAGGTATGTATTCAATACTCTCTGGTTTTTGTGTTGCTCAGCAATGGTAGAGTTTCAGAGGGCTTATTTTAATGTAAGTCCTCTTTTTTTTTTTTTTTTTTTTTTCAGAATTTAATTTTAATTACCCTGCTATGCATGATGGCACTGAAAATAAACTAAAGGAGAACAACAGCCACGGGGGAGTATTGAAGCACTTGGCTTTATTTTCATTTCTAAATTACAATGGCATTGTTAGGAACTAGTCAGGGATGTGGTAAAAGGAGGAAAAAGTACAGAAATAGCCTACATTCAGCTAAATGTATGTAGAAAAGTGTATGAATTCCAACATGTCTTCCAAATATCGTAGTTATTGGCAGGGATTTTGAAAGATTACAGTATCAGATTACTGGAAAGCCTAAAGTGGGTCTTTCTTATTTAGTAAGATGATGATAATTTCTATACACAACTGAGCAGGTTCTCCTGAGGCAGAAAAATAAGACAGAAAAATTTCTTAGTAGGAAGGAACACTGATACATGTCCTATGTGGGAATATACCAAAACGGGGACTGACAACTTGTCTTATGACTTCAAGGCTCCTTTCAGGTTTTCCCAAAATCTCTTCTGCTGTTCCTCACCAGGAGGCCACTCGAGGTAGGTCTTTGTGTTCATGATCTTCCGCAGCTTGCAGAACCTCTTGGGAATCGCTTTGCTCTGGATGGGCTCCAGGAGGACGAGAATCGCTGCATCGTTGTTCTCGTCAAAGAGGCGGAAGTGTGAGAAGTCCAGCTCGTATTTGCACCACTCGCTCTGCACAAAGTGCTCGGACAGCACAAAGAGCGTTTTGTGGCTCTTCTCTATGGAGTCAATGATATTGTCCACGATCCACTTCCCGGGCACAAAGTCCCGCTTGTGCAGGCAGAGCCGAAACGGGGGGCAGGCCTGCTCCAGCTCCCGCACCATGATGTTTTCCACCCAGTCAGAGTCATTCTCGCTGTAGGAGACAAAAGCGTCATAGCAGATGTCCTTTGCAGGGGCGCGCTTGGGCTTCCGCTTGGCTTGGAGCCACGCCCAGGTCATTCGCAGGTACCAGACCACGTGGTACTTGTAGCCAACGGCCACGAGGACGAGGATGACCAGGAACACCAGGACGCAGATCAACGACACCACAAGGGACCTGTGGCACTCCATCAGGGAGGGGTGCACGGCTCCAACCTGCGTCCCTCTCACTGCCAGGGGAGAGTCACAGATGTACTTGTCTGGCCACCCCACCAGCACCTGGGCCATCCCGGCCTGGTGCTGGATGAAGGACACGAACTCACAGGAGCAGATGAAGTTGTTGTCGCTGGCATCCAGCAGCTCCATTTTCTTGAAGGCCTCAAACTCTTCCCTGGAGAAGCTGTTCAGCTTGTTTCTTCTGATCGACATGGCCACTAAGTTAGGAATGGGTGCAGCACCGGGCAAGGTCTTCAGCTGGTTTTTTGCGAGGTACAGCTCTTTGAGAAAGGGCAGCTGCAAGCCAAACTCCTTCAGGTTGTTGGCACTGACGTCCAAAACTTCCAGTGTCAGGGGAATGCAAGTTGTTAGTTTAGGAATTTGAGTGCTGGAGAGGTTTAAGTATTTCAGGTGTTTTGGCCATTCACACACATCTGGAATCTCACCAAAATTGTTTTGGCTAATGTCTAAGAGAATTAATTGTCTCAGACGAGACAAACTTTTGCCTGTCATTTCTAAGTCACCCAGTGAATTCTGACTTAAATTTAAAGCTTGTAGTGAGGGCCAACCACCCTGGCAGGCCGAATGCTCCAAACTCTGGTCTCCAAGCAAATTTGCACTAAGGTCAAGGTATTCTAATGACAGAAGACGTCTCGAAAGACTGCAGGGTACCAAAAAGACCTTGGTGTTTCTAACTGTGACTTTGGTAAGAAGAGATAGTAGTCCTTCCACAGCCTGAAGATCTGTAAACAAATAAAATTCTTCTATAGACAGTTTCTCTATTGTCAGAACTCTAAGAGTCTGTGATTGGTTTGCCTGAATTTGTATTTGCCATTGTCCAGTTCCCATGAGTCTACAGTCTATCATCTCCACCTCCACCAGTTTTGGCATGTCCTCTAAAATGCTGACAATCTCAGGCACAGTGGCATCTGTTAACAAGGCCTCTTTAAGAGAAATTTTCTGTGCAAAAGACAACGACAGGACTCTCAACAGTTGCATTTCAGCAGGTATGCTGAATGGTATTTTTCTCAGTTCTAACCAAGTGACAGAGTGCAGAAGGTCCCTGACAATTGCTGAGAATACATTAATACTTCTTATGTCTACGATCATGTGATTTACCTTCTTAATTGATTTGAAACTTCCCGGCTCATACTGTCTGAGATTGCCACCGTCAATCCACAACTTGTCGAGAAGCTCAATGCCCTCAAAGTTCCCTCGCCTGATCGTGGAGAACCGCCTGTTGCCCAGGTGGAGAGAGCTCAGGTTCCTCAGGCTAGAAAAGGGGGAGCTTTCCCCCAGGTCTCTGTAGGCGTTCCCTTGAAGGTGGAGGTGCTGGAGCGAAAAAAGGTGCCCAAACCACGCAGGGGACACGTGAGCCAAGCTGTTATTTGATAAGTCCAAGAGCTCCAGCTTCCCAAGGGAGCGAAATGAGTCCTCGTCTATTGAGCTGATGTTGTTGGACTGCAGCAGCAGGACTCTCAGGTTCACAGTCTGCTGTAGATCCTGGGATCGGATGTGCTTTATCCTGTTGTGGGACAGGTTTAACGTTGTGATTTTGTCCGTGAGCCCTGCGGGAATGAAGTCCAAGTCCATGGAAGAGCAGTTGCAAAGCTGAGTGGCACCGCATGAAGGACAAACCTGCTTCAGCACTTGCTCTTCGGAGAGGTTTGCAGCTAAGACCATGTAGATGGCCCACACTTGCCAGGTGTGTGTAGTTCTTGGTTCGTGTTTTGTTTGGTTGAACATTTTCCTGTAGGAAACAGAAAGGATAGAAAGTAGCATCCATTTTCAGTTTTGAACAGCAACTGAAAACAATTGAAAACCTGTGCACTTTCTTTAGGAGATTCAGATTCAAATTTTTTCTTCTAAGAGTTTTCCTGTGGCTTCAGTCTTCTACTCTTACTTCAGCTGCTCAGTCCTGCAAACATGGCGTGCTCCTCATCTCTAAAGTACAGCCACATCATCTATCAACAGTCATGAAAGACCATCCTTAAGGTCCTGCCTTTTCCTATGTGCATTGGCTCTTGCCTCTTACATCTCTTGCTTTATACCTCCTCTTAGCAACAAAGCTATGGCTGCATGTTTCGGCCCTAAACAGGGGAAGATGGTTAGATCAAGTGCACCCTCAGTAAGTTTGCAGGCCACACCAAGTTGGGCAGGAGTGTTGATCTGCTTGAAGGTAGGAACACTCTACAGAGGGATCTGAACAGGCTGGATTGACAGGCCAAGGCCAATTGTATGAGGTTCAACAAGGCCAAGTGCCGGGTCCTGTACTTGGGTCACAACAGCCCCATGCAGCACTACAGGTTTGGGGAAGACTGACTGCAAAGCTGCCTGGTGGAAAAGAACCTGAGGGTGTTGGGTGACAGCCGGCTGAATATGAGCCAGCAGTGTGCCCAGGTGGCCAAGAAGGCCAATAGCATCCTGGCTTGTATCAGAAACGGTGTGGCCAGCAGGACTAAGGAAGTGCTCATGCCCCTGTACTTGGCACTGGTGAGGTCGCACCTCAAATACTGTGTTCGGTTTTGGGCCCCTCACTACAGGAGGGACATTGAGGTGCTGGAGCATGCCCAAAGAAGGAAAACAAAGCTGGTGAAGGGTCTGGAGCACAAGTCTGATGAGGAGTGGCTGAGGGAACTGGGGTTGTTTAGTTTGGAGAAAAGGAGGCTGAGGGGAGACCTTATCACTCTCTACAACTACCTGAAAGGAGGTTGTAGCGAGGTGGGTGTCCGTCTCTTTTCCCAATAACAAGTGATAGGATGAGAGTAAACAGCCTCAAGTTGCACCAGGGGAGGTTTAGATTGGATATTAGGACAATTTTTTTTCACTGAAAGGGTTGTCAAGCACTGGAACAGGCTGCCCAGGGAAGTGGTTGAGTTACCATCCCTGAGGGTATTTAAAAGACAGGTAGACATGGCACTTAGGGATATTGTTTAGTGGTGGACTTGGCAGTGCTAGGTTAATGGTTGGACTCGATGATCTTAAAGGTCTTTTCCAACCTAAATGATTCTATGGTTCTAAATGCTCACAGCCTTCGCAGCATTAGCGGGTCCATCTAGTATGGCTACCCATGAGGCAGAAGCTCAAACAGAGCGTGTCCGCCCACTCGGCCCTTCGAGTGGGCTGTGGCTTCTGACACCCCAAAATTTCCCTGAAGAGATTTTGGGGTCCCCCGCTTGAAGTCTCACCAGCCTCAGGGCTTCTAAAAAGCAGAGCTGCACAGGCTCCCAGCACACCCTTTTTTACACTGTGTAAGCAATTTACATTCTTTACTGGAAAGGCAGAACAAGCTGATATGCAACCAAACAAGTCTATCGCCCTTTTCTGTAAATCAACACTGGTAATAGATGGGAATTAGATGTTACCGTCACCCTATAAACAGTGGATGTAATTAGAACAATACTGATTTTAATTTACAGAAGGGCTGTATTTCCTGCCACGGGTGCCAAAGAACATTTCACCATCGGCTACACCAGAAAATAAGTCACTTATTAAAGCTCACAAGCTGCTGCAAACAGCCCCAGTACTGCAGACAAACAGTACCCCTAAACCCTGAATATGCAGAAAGTAAATACTTACCTTGTGTACTGCATGCTGCGTTTCAGTCTCCTTGTGTGCTGACAGTCTACTCTGGGATCCAAATGGTCACTTCATACTTGCGAGTACAACAAAAAGCCAGGAACCCTCTGCCAGGCCTGATGCAACGACAGTCCTGGAGTGAGAAAATATTTCAGAGCACACTCCTCAAACAAAGCTTTATGCTGACAGTTTCCCAACGTCCTCTAACTGCTCAGCCAGTGAAGCGTACTGGTTTGCAAGGCTTTCCTTTAGTAAGGAACTAAGGAAACCATGCCTTCTGAAGAGTTCGGCATTGTCCGAGACGCATGGCACTGCCCTTCAAACTCACATTTCAACCATTTCTATTGCTGCCACTGACAGGGGACACAAAAATGAGCGTAGATAGTGTTTGCACTCTCTTCCTCGCGAGCTGAAATTCAGTGGCAAATCTCTCTCCTTTTGTTGGTCATCACCCATGGCTGGAAAGGCTGATGCAACGATTTTACACAAGTCATTCTTTCACAACCACTTCCTCTAGCATTAAGTGCAGAAATAGTTCCTAGGCAGAACTGCATTGACCTCCTTGTATCTCTACTTTCGATACTTACTATTATTTGGTACGTGTTGGGGTGGGTGTTAACTGGACTGAGCAGCAGAAAATCTCAGCACAGCCAAGTTATTTTGTTGTGTAGCTTCTGTAAAATGTTATTATCACTATATATATTGATATATATATTATATTGATATAAATGTTGGAGTCAAATTGTTTAGTCAGAGAGACTACTACAGAAACACTCAGTATCTTTTCGTTTCCCAGGACACCGCAGTCATACGTTATCAACAAATAGAAAACGCGTAAGAATGGGAATGATATTCTGTCTAAGAAAGAAGACACAGTTTGAAAGAAAGTATCCCTCTGTAAACATCCAAGGCAATTTTGAGAGGGGAGGTTTGATGATATTTATTTTAGCCTGACTGAATGGAAACACACAGCTGGTCAAATGGCCAAGCACGCTGCAGGCAGGAAGGGGTAGGGAGTCTTCCTACCAGCTCTGAAAGGGAAACCCATTACATTCGAACACCAAACCTTCCTACTGCCATTTCCTTTTTTTTTTTTTTTCTGTGCACAGAAATTGTCACAGTCTGCTGACTGCTTGTACCAAGGGGTACCTGCCTGGGACCAGACAGACCAACCCATTCCTGCCACCTTGCCTGGCCATGTGTCAGAGGGCCCACGGTGGCATCTGTGTGCTCAAGGGTGGCAAAGCCCAGGCAGAACCCTGAGTGCATCTCATAACAACCCTCAGTCCCACTATGTTAAAATTAGCATTGCACATTAGGTTAAGAACTTGACACTTTCCAAAAAAGGGAACTGAAAGACTGAGATACCCTTGTATTTTCTGTCTTACAGAAGACACATGACAAGTATAACAACTTTTTAAAGCAGTTTTACTGGGCGGGGGGAGGGCGTGGGGAATAGAGACAGAGCAGGCTGTGGAACACAGCAGAGAAGGGAACTGGCATTTTAGTGAAGGGATGTCACCAACTTCCCAAAAGCTGCCTGTTCCTTCTGGCACCTCTCAGCTGAAACAGTTCTAATTCTTAAAAAGAGAAGACACTCAGTTTTCAAAATGTTTTAAAATATTAGTTCTAAGGTTGTCACGACTCGTTCCTATATGGTTTTGTCACCAAAATTGTAACTCCTTGGTAAAGTTAAATATAGTTAAATTTGTGAAGAGCTTTGAAGACGATGACCACATATGAGGCCACATACTTCGCAAGCACACTTTTTTGTGTGTTACAGCTTCACCACCACACAATCATGGAGACTCGAGGTAGGCACTAGCTATTTTTTCAGAAGTACTGACTTTCTCCTAATGTCCAGGCTCAGCCCACTCTCATCACATTTCTAAACTGGGCCAGGTTTCTGGTTTGTCTCAGAAAGATAGGACCAGAGCAACCCTTCCCACCTTCTAATGCCGCAGTTCACAAACCAAGCAGCTCATTTCAGCAAGCTGCTTAAAAAGCCAAGAAATTGGGATGGGCCTTCTACTTGTTTCCATCAGTAGGGAAAAAAGTCTACAAGCAGCACAACTTTTCTCCCTCTCTTTCCAGGTCAATTTGAGGATTTATCAGGTTATACAGAGTCAGGAAGGCCCGAGGATGCTCAAGGTGGCCAGAAATGCCTTCCACAAGCTGCCCCACACACAGAGGGGAGGTACCAGCCACCTGCGTCCCAGACCATCAGCTTCCAAGCTGAGTGGCAGCCTGGACTTAGAACAACTTCTTTTGAAATCAAAGAGTCTAAAGTAGGAGAAAACCGCTGTCTTTTAACATGACAATACCATTCATCTGTCTGTTCTCTAGAGTAACTGCATGTTTAGTGTTGAACAGTTGCACCTTGTGGGTGCTTTCCCTCCTCCTCCAAGTTTAAGCTATGATTGTCCTTCCTCTAAAAAAGGCACATACCTCCACCTGTGCCAGTACATTACTTTTTTTCCCACCAGAAGGGCACAGATCTCCAACAAGCCTGTGCTTTTTTAACTGCAGATGTTCTCAGCAAAGACATCACACGAGCCTTTGTCAGCAGATAGATAGGGCTGAGACAGAGTTGTGGTCATCATTTTTGAAGCTCTCTTTCTTTAAATCATAGAATCATAGAATGGTTTAGGTTGGAAGGGACCATAAAGATCATGTAGTTCCAAGCCCCCTGCCATGGGCAGGGACATCTCCCACTAGACCAGGTTGATTAAAGCCTTGTCCAGCCTGGCCTGGAATATTTCCGGGGATGGGGCAGCCACAACTTCCCTGGGCAACCTGTGCCAGTGCTTCACCACCCTCATAGTGAAAGATGTTTGCCTGATATCTAGTCTAAATCTACCCTCTTCCAGTTTGAAGCCATTCCCCCTCATCCTATCACTACATGCCCTTGTAAAAAGTCCCCCTCCAACTTTCTTGTAGGCACCCTTCAAATACTGGAAAGCCGCTATAAGGTCCCCCTGGAGTCTTCTCTTCTCCAGGCTGAACAACCCCAACTCTCTCAGCCTGTCCTCGTAGGAGAGATGCTCCAGCCCTCTGATCATCTTCGTAGCCCTCCTCTGGACCCATGTTCCCGTTTAGCCGACAGCAGCACGAGAAGCACACATTTCCCTCAGCTGGATCTCCCCTGCCCCCCAGCCACAGCCTGC